TGGTACGAACCGACCAGTGTCAGCTGGGGTAAATCTTCATTAAAAGTCACTGCGGGAAGGCCAATCCTATATAAGGCCGCAGCTCCCGCGTGATTGCGGGACATTCTTCCCTACGATTCATTTTTGGATCGGTGACTTGTATCCAAAATGCCTCGAGGGTTTTGCGTGCGCACAATTCTGACTCCTGTGCTACGACCTCCACGGTAACCTCGAAAACGCCTCCGTTATGCTTTCGAATTCGGTGACTCCCTAAGGCAGTAGAGTCTTTCAATCGACTCATACCATCTATGTGCTCCTTCACCCTCACGTGGAGTTGTCTTGCCGTCTCGCCAATATACTCATCACCACAATCACGGCAAGTAATTTTGTAGACCACCCCAGACATGTTACAATCACCTTCCCTTCCAGCTGGGCAGAGCACACAGTTTGAGGTTGTACAGAGGCGATCGCACAGCCTGTTTATACTGCTTCCTAGTTTTGTTCGACAAATGTCTACGCAGTCCAAGTTGTATGTCTGGTGTTCAGAATGCAGAGAGTTTCAAAATGACGTATTTTGTCGGGAGACGCTTCGACAGAGAATCTTTCTAATTAATCCACCTTGAGGTGCCTGGAAAACCTATTGAACATAAGAGAACCCAAATTTCGACAGGCTTGTTGACAAGTTTCTGTGCTCGGTTCCGTTTTGAGCCCTTTTTGTTCACATAGCTTTTATCTTCTTCATTAGCTTTTTTCCGTTCTGCCATTCTTGACAAGGTTGTTCGGACCCATAAGATTACTAAGAAAGCACCTCGGGGTTTCGCTGTGGGCACACAACCAGTTCATACCACTCGTCGGTGATACCTCCCGTGGCGAGTGTTACGCTGTGCGATTATGCGGCCGCAATGCATAAGCACAGTCACCACAATGAGGGGCGCTTGTAAAAGTGAGCAAACATCGGTTGTGTTCTGTGATTCAAATTAGTAGTAGTCAGTCGTGGAAATCTATAACCATAACAAGTTGTATGACGGCATCCACGAACATCATATTAAAAACCACCTCTTGAGTGAAACAATGGATACGGCGTAATTTTTCAGCACATGAAGTTTATTCGAAAGTACTTGAGAGCAACAGATCTAGCAACGGATCGACAGTCGGTAAAAAAATTCGTTCATAAATTTCTTGGATTCGATGGGGTCAGTTTTCCCCTCCTTCTAAACATATATTTTTTTAGCAGTTTCCATAAATCAAAAAGGATCCCATGTGTTTTCTATCGATATTATTTGATCTAGGTGTTTTGCATGCGGATGATATCAGCACACGCAGGTGATATTATGGCTACAGAGTTAATTGTTGCCCTCTGGCACAACTTCAACGACAGGGTTCGAAAGGTGAGGTGCACACACATCAGATTAGATTGCGTCGCTAGTTGTATTGTAATGCTCGCTGATCTTCTAGCTACAATAGATAAGAAAAGAGTACGCGACTTTTCCGAAGTGCATATGGTTGAAAGGCTTGAATTTCATCCACGACTTCATATGAATGTCTTTTTTCTAAGATCCAATTCAACTCTACGGAATCGCTCAATCACTAGACAATCGCACACGTATGTTAGGTTTAGTTGCTAGCTTGTCGTTCCTCTCTTTCCTTCCGTCTGATTCGAGCGAGGGCGTGATCCTCCATTCATCGATATGGCATGTTGTAAAGACTGGATAGTAAGCGTTCAAGCAGTGCACAATAAAATATACGTTCATTTGAATAGAAATTATTGTGACGTCCACGATGTCAGTTTCGATCATATATCATTAATGGCGATGGTTGATCACATTCTTGCTAGTGTTAAGTACCATCATTAGATTGTGAACTGCTTTCCTTTGAATGCCGGCTTTGTGATTAAATCTAATTGTGACGCCGTTGAAAGGTTTTATTTGATATACGTCTCTGTTGGTCATCATAACGTCATATTTGTGAATCCTTTCAACGGTGTTGAATATGCTGTCATATCTCAACAATAACTTTTAGAGCCCTATCGAGATGTTTGAAGGGGGAGTCACTCAATCGCCGAGTAAGCTTGACGCAAACTTCAAAACGTGGTTGCTTGGTCAGACGAGGTGAGTCAACAAACTCTTTTGTTCCCCATATCCTTTTGATACCCTTCGAGAAGCGGACATTCAGCATTATGGCTCATTATGTAAGCCTAACTAGCACTTGAAAGTAGCATTCGCTTCACATATCGGGCAGCCGATTAGGCTGCAGCATAGGCAAAATGCAATACAGAAATAAGTGATCCAACAAGAGAAGGTTATTTGGTTGCAGTGGCCATTCGAGACGAGTGTATACCGCCGTAGGTGGCTTCAAACGCTGATCTCAAAATGGGTTACAAATCTGCTAAAAGGTTCTAGGAACAGAGTGACAGAACCAATGCCTTCCTGTGTTATACCACTGCACTGAACGGTAGCGCAACTGGTAGAGTGGTGGGATGGTAGACATGACATCAAGGTTCCGTTACTGAATGAATGCGCTTGTTTTGCTTTGACATAAATGCACATAAACGTCATAAATGTTTGCAAAACGTTTTCGGGCTCAACGTTGGGCATCTACAGAGCTACTTCACAATTTACGAACGCTAAAAAAGTGTTACAAGGAAAGTTTTCCATTCGAGCAACAGAGAAATTCAAGACATGTGCTCAGAATTGGCTTAAAAGGCATCAAGGGGAGAGGCTCTTAATGATTCATCGGATCGAATACTTTTCACATGTCACTAGCAAAATATTCTGCCGAAGGTGGTGTCATCGTATCTAATAGAAGACTTCCGTTATTGCAGCATAACGTGAGCGCCATCTAGGACGGAACGGGAGGTAATAGAGAGCTTTTTGACCATACATTTTGTGCTATGAAAACAAGCTCATTATCCACTGCGAGGGAGTTTAGTCCGTGAAAGACGATCCCAGTGATCCTCTGCGGTCACCTGATGATAGCAACGACGGTGATCCCAACACTTCGCGAGGAAAACCTCATACGTTTGTGGGAATGTAGAGGCTCTAAAGTGAAACGTAGTCTCGAACTTTGTGATCTGACTCATAAGCTCCGATTTTATGGTGCTGGCAGAAGAGTTCACTGCCTTCTCTAGTTCGGTAGAAGGTTCCATGACCTTCTATAGTTAGAGTGCCAGAAGAAGCCGCATTTATTCGTACATGAGGGACACGTTCTGTATCATCATGAAGAGTACCGTCTACGAGAATTAAGGGGAAGTGCGAGAGGCCACCAGCATTTGAATCAGTATATCATCGACAAATTATGATATCCTATGTGGTTGTAACTATCAGGTGTAAAACGAGCGGAGATCTATCTTGCTATGGGAATTAGCGGATACGTTGGAAGGATAAGTATCGAAATCTCATTGCACGACAGCCATTTCCATTGGATGCCACTACAAATCAAGAATGAAGGCCGACAAGGGACAACTTAAGGGCAAGTGTTGGTGAATTAAGGGTTTTGAGTACAGCCGTGTATCATGTCTCACCGCATCACCACGTTTATCTCGTGAAAGGGCCTCTTGAAGAAGGCGATCACCTTAAGAAGAGGCGGATAATCATATGTGCACACAAATCGATAGGCTATGGTCCACAGCTTTTCCTCAACAACGCCAGTTAGCTTGTACCACCGCTTCGAAGTTGCGGTCAATATTCCTGGAAAGTGCAGACCGCATTCCTCCCAAAAAGGGCTCTGTTCAGATTAGTCATTCGACCGCTTTCTAACGTAAGCGCAGTGTGCTGCCGAAAATTTCGAAACGCCATTTTGATCATTCCGGGTAAAGAGGCTTATCTATTCGGCTAGTACCGCTTAAGAAAAATTTTGTTGGATCGCTATTCCCCGGAATCCTAGATTGTGAGGGATCTTCGTAGATGCAAAACATTGAGCCTGAAGATTTCTGTAAGCGTTTAGGTCGCATTTCGAGAAGAGGCAAAACGAGAGCATGCACAAAGGAATCGAACCTTGGTGTTACGCCTACCAGTCTACCATCCTAACAGCTGCGCTACCGTTGCACTTCTGATGCTTCGCTCACCCCGGTGATCGTTCGGTACGGTAGTATAACACAGGGAGGCATTGGTTCCGTAACTTTGCTCCCAGAATCGTTTAGCGAATTTGGAAGATGAATTCGAATAGGCATTAGAAACCACCTATGCGGTATATATCTCATCTTGAATGGCCACTGCGACCGAGTATACCTTCCTTGTAAGACTATATCTCTCATGCGTGTGATGGAGAGGAAAGGACCTAGTACCAATCTATGTACTTCCCCTGAGTTGAGGTGGTGTGCATGCGGTCGCAAACAATGCAAATGAAGTTATATTATTAGGCTGACTCCTCTTTTCTTTACACCTGAATGAATTTGTGATATTTGGGAAGTAGAATGAGTAAATCTGAGATACGGTGCCTATTTTCTTCTAGCTTCTTCACCTTTGGAGGTGGAAATTCACCGTCATATTTGCATCTTGTTTCAGAAGCATAAAGGCCCCCCGAAAACGATGGCACCAAGTAGCGTGAAGGTTTTGTGTTCTGCGACTTCCTTCAACGAAGTCGATGCATCCTGAAAAATAAACATTCCACAGGGGGAAAAGCATCATTACCTAAAGGGGCGCCTAAGGCAGAAAGATTATTGCAGTATGGTACTCACTGGGGAGGGATAACCAAATGGTCAAAAATGTAGGCTCAGGAATGCTCTTAAGTTCACGACTTTGATCCCTGCCAAGGCGAAGAACAAGCTTTGCAATAGTTTGCAAGATGGCGTCGGTACCAGCGTCAAGCTAGATTGAAAAGCAGACTGATGGAGAAATCTGACCACAACAATCATGTCTATAATCTCAAAAGAAAATCAGTGATAAAGCTAGAATGCCACACAGCCGGACACAGTATCCTCGCCTGAGTTCTGTGGACATATGCGAGGATTACCGAAAATGACCCCTGCCAGAGAAGTTGACTTTAATTGAGATTTTTGACGTGATATCGCTAACTGGGAAGATTCGAGAAGTTGCTCACTTAGTGAAACGCAGGACTGTTTAGGTTCTATGCCTTCACAAAACACGCTAGAAAGGATCAAAGGCTAAAAAAATTGGAAGAGGTGTCAGGACCAATTACAGCTAGAAAGGCACCAAGCGAAATAATGTGGCATACCAGTTGCGGAGTCTTTCGAATTTCTGTCTCCACTGTCGACAAAACGAGCACTGGAATCATTGCTGCGAGGATAGACACGGGAAAATAAATAATATCTGTGCACATACTAAAAGCGGTCTGTCCCGAGTGTGACCAAGATGAGATCAATTTGAGCTTTTGCGATACCATCGAATCAATTTCAGAATGGGACTATCTCACTGTAGCCGGTGATCTGAATGACCACGTCGGCAGTGAACGGAGGGGTCTGGAAAGAGTTCATAGAGGAAGAGGAGATGGGAACAGAGAAGGAGAGAGTTTTTGACTTGTCCTCAGCCTAAGACTTGACTGTCTGCAGCACTTCTTCGCGAAAAGGGAACTCAAACGGTTGCTTGCAGCGGTAAAGCAAGAGGAACGGAATTTCCCCAATGACTCGTAGGAGAACCATTTCCCAAAATTCTAGTGAACATCAAAGTACTGCCTGGCAAAGATCCACCCTAACAGCTGAGCCCATCGCACTGTGGACGGACGATGAGATCAAACGGGGAAATAAAGATGGTAAGGCAACTGGTCTGGGTGGGGTTTCAGTCGAGTCATGGGTGGCGCCTAGAGATCACGGAATCAGGTGACTCATCCGATTCTTATAAAGTTTGATTACTGAAGGTAATATCTCAGATGCGTGGAGGAACCGTCCACTCGTCTCCATCCTCAAAAAGAAGGGGAATGCGGCGAAGTCTTCCAATCGTGGTGATCGTTTGACCAGGTTGATTGCAAATAAATACATGAAAATGTACGAGCGGCTAGTCGACTAGAGACTTAAAGCACTAGCCTCGACATCACAAAAGCAGCTTGGTTCTATCTCAGGACTGCAGCGGATGTCACCTTCACAACTGAACAAGTTATGTAGAAGTATCGAGGAAAGCGTGGAGCCAGCTGTCTGATCTTCCCCAACCTAGAAAGGGCTTCAATCCGTCTCCCACAGGTCGTTTGGAGAGCGTTCCGAAAAAGAAGCGTTCCTAACCCCTGATCTTCCTCGTCAGGGAAATGTATGATAGGTCTAAGACGGTAATACAACCCCTCACGGCTTAACGAAGGCAATAGACGGCCGCTTGAGATATAACAAGGATCAGCTCTGTGATCGCCCCTTTCCTGATGATATATATCATCACAAAAAAGAATTCATGGATGAACAACCGAAGGCCATCACCTACGCTGATGACAATTATCTGATAGTTGATAGCATAGAAGAAATTCAGAAGCTGCAGAGATATCAAAAAATACTGGCGAGGAAGCTTTGGCTTGATTCCTACACGCCATTGTACCGCGGATTCCAGCTCTTGGAGCATTCTGAAAGTTTATATTTAATTGGACAAATCGTCTTTACAATCTATTTTCAAGTGAAGCGATCACACAACTCGATTACATGGATATCACTCCAGATTGTAATCGTTGCAGTCAGTCTCGCATATAGTGCAACCAGTTTCATACCTTTCCCATTCTATTTCGTAAGCAAAGACAAAAGGCGCCACGGTTAGGTACAACGAGGGTGAGCCCTGAAGCCATCTCTCTTCCTGCTACTCATGGATGCCATCACAAAAGACTTTATGGATAGGCGTGAAGGCGATCCTATATGCTGATGACATCTCTCTAATAGCGGATGACAAAGAAGAAATTTACAGGGTGCGCATAAATATGGTAACAAAAAATTGGCCCCTAGAAATCGCAGTCCGTATTAATACATGGTCAATTCGTGTGAGTTATTTACTATACATCGCATCTAAAGAACAAACACACGGTCATCTTATATAACCGTCTCCTGGGATTAAGTTTTGTACTTTTCTCGACCAAGTTTGCGAAATCGCTGTGATTGTAGAGATTCTAGTCCACAACGTCATAAAGAGGGAAAACGGCTATGATAGGTGATCTGACTCTTCTAAGCGGTTTCAGCACTCATAGTGTGAAAT